GGCCCTTAGTTTGCTAAGTTCAGCGTCTGAGTTGCTACGTCTGTTTTTGTTGTTGTTTTAACAGCAGAACACATGTCGTGTCAAATTAGGTTTGTATGGATGACTTGGCCAGACAATTTCTACTGCAAATCAATAATTGCTTGAAATGTGTTTTAACACAACCTTGAAATCAAATTGAATCTGGTATTAATCTACTCAAACATAAAATTGTTTTCATACACCTATATATCATTTGCAGTCTTTATTACAAAATCATTCTCCTAAATGGCCTGGAAAATACTGCATGGTTGTGATAATCAAATTTGGTTAGCTGCCTAATGGAAAACAGGTTTTATCACAGTTTCAACTGTTTTTGATATGTATATTGCAGTAATAATTAGTGTAATTACAATTATCTTCCGAAAGTTATTTAATTACAGCAGTCAAAATAATATAAAAGTAATTTATTTCAATTAGAACTAACACAAAAATAATTTGGTTATGATATGGCACCAGTTTTAATTATTTCATGATAGAAATATTGAAGGCTGTATAAATGGAAACAGATTCTTCCGACCAGAGTTTCTCCACACAACACAACTGGACATTGCAGTTTAGGGTGAGCGGTTTTGGTGGTTGTAGGCTAATGAGTGGTGATTGAAACACAGGATGGCTATATAGTGGGAAACTCTCAGTGGGATCTACTCCTACCCCTGTAGAGGTGTGCACACCAGGTATTTCAAAGAGTGCCTCCAGCGCTGTCTACTGCCAACAGCTTCCTAATGAATCACGCTGCTGGTCCTCCCCACTTGATCAAGTTTCCCCAGAGTGGTTCAGTTGCTCCCCATCATTTTGATACCGACAGCCGTCATGGAAAGTCGCAGGCTTATGTGTCTTGGATTGTAGAAGTGTGTAAAGAAAGCCTGAAATTTGTGGAGCTGTAGATACAGTGTGACCAAAGTTTATGTTTTTCTGATGTGAGGAATGTATAAATTAAAAAATTACTTCAGGAGTTTTCTGAGCACTGATCTTAACAACATGGGTGAGTCTCAAATATCTCACTTTTAGATTTTTATATTTTGTTCTCAAATGGAAGGTATTATTTTTATTGAAGAGCATCTAGGGACTATAATGGCCATGGATCATAATGATAAACATTGTATAATGTAATTAATTGGCCACTGATCATACTGATGTGGAGTATTATAAAAGTTCCTTTGGTGTATAACTTTCATTTGTTACATAGGTAATATCACCAGTCGTAGTGCCATATTGTATGATATCTGCCAGATTTCTAAATAGTGTTGTTTTAACATGGCAAAGTGCTGATGGGAAAAAACCAGATGAATAGAAATGATATGTCAATTTAAGTTTACATTGTAAGTCATGTCAATTTAAGTTTACATTGAAAGTCAACTCTGTCTGAATTATAAAGTGGCAAATAATAATTTCCAATCATGGCTATTGTTTTGGTTCAATTGTTTGACAGAGAAGGATGCACTTTAGAATTTTCAAAATTAAAGTTCTAAAGAGGTTAGAAAAAAGAAAGAAAAAAACCCACGACATAATGTTGATTGAATTGCTGTTTGCACACACAATCTTGAATTGATGTTTTCAGTTTTCAAATGATTCATTTAACTTCATTGGATTTCAGTAACCCAATATATTGTTCAATTTCAAAAATTACTATTATGAATGAAGCAAGGAAATCAAAGTTTAATGGAATTTTGAACTCTTCCTGATAATCCAGCTAGCATATCAATTCATATCTCATAAAACGTTTAATCAAATTAAATCATATCGTCAGGAAATCTGATAATGGTAACTGGATTGCCCGAGAACTTGGGAAAAGTGTTTTCCTTGTTTAATGTATGTGAGGGGAAGTCTGGTTTACGTCCAACATTGCAGTAGAGGAGCTATGTCTCAAATGTCAGTTGATTATTATGGCACTGTAATATTAGATTTTCTCACCGTTCCTTGCGGTCTCATTTTACAGTGCAAATGTTTGAGATTCTCCGTAAATTTTCACATCATGAAAGATAACCCAAGTCAGAAATAACAGCAAAAAAAACAAACATTGAAAAGGAGCTTTTGTTATCTTTTTATATGGAATAGGTCATTTTGCTATTTTGAAATACTGATATGCATGTACTGCACAGTGCTTGATCTCTAAGAATCTTGTATACTGTATACTATAATACTAAATCATTGTTCATGAGTTGAAAATGATAATTTATATTTTTTACTTAAATCATATTTGTTTTCATTGGAATGCAGATCAGTTGCATAATCTTACTATATGGATTCAGGTTGAAATGTTGATTTTCAGAATAACAACAGAAAAGAGTGATTAGTGCATGGCTATAATAAGTGACATTATTTTGATGGGTCAAAAACGAAAGTTGAAGATATATATACAGACATATAATGTTGGCCTTGATTTTCCTATTGTGATCCAAAGACCATTGTGAAGTTGTCATATATATGTATTTGTTAGAAATTTTAGAGAATTTGTTAATTTCTATAGAGCTATACCTACAGCAAAAAAACATGAATTTGAAACATCATGAAAATTACCCATAAATACAGTAATCTACTTCTGTATAATCATACCATAGATGGGAAAACATATAACTAAAAATTTCATTTTGTATACGTTAGGAAAATAAACTGTCTAGTTGGCTCCATTTTGTTATCAAAGTTCTTTGTTGCTATCTCCTCAAATAACCGAAAAATTACAACCACACAATTGAACATTGGCAGTAGGCTTTTATAAAGTTGCATGTCAAAAACTATACACGTGTATAAGTATTGTCTATAATGTGAGGTTAACGTTGTGAATCAGTAGACAGAGCTATGATAAAAACACATCTCTTTGTTAATGTTGACAACAACACGCGGACTGAGCATGTACCATCATTATCCTGCTTCACAATCATATAGTACATGTTATATCACAATAGGCTGGAGGGAGGTCTAATCGCCAGCTATGTGGTACAGTGTAGTACATGTTATATCACAATAGGCTGGAGGGAGGTCTAATCACCAGCTATGTGGTACAGTGTAGTACATGTTATATCACAATAAGCTGGAGGGACGTATAATCACCAGCTCTGGTACAGTGTAGTACATGTTATATCACAATAGACTGGAGGGAGGTCTAATCACCAGCTCTGTGGTACAGTGTAGTACATGTTATATCTCAATAAGCTGGAGGGACGTATAATCACCAGCTCTGGTACAGTGTAGTGCATGTTATATCACAATAGGCTGGAGGGAGGTCTAATCACCAGCTAGGTCTAATCACCAGCTCTGAAACAGTGTACTACATGTTATATCACAATAGGCTGGAGGGAGGTCTAATCACCAGCTCTGGTACAGTGTAGTACATGTTATATCACAATAGGCTGGAGGGACGTATAATCACCAGTTCTGTGGTACAGTGTAATACATGTTATATCACAATAGGCTGGAGGGAGGTCTAATCATCAGCTCTGGTACAGTGTAGTACATGTTGTTATATCACAATATGCTGGAGGGAGGTCTTATCACCAGCTATGTGGTACAGTCACTGCACGTGTAGTACATGTTATACCACAATAGGCTGGAGAGAGGTCTAATCACAAGCTATGTGGTACAGTCACTGCACGTGTAGTACATGTTATACCACAATAGGCTGGAGGGAGGTCCAATCACCAGCTCTGGAACAGTGTACTACATGTTATATCACAAAAGGCTAGAGGGATGTCTAATCACCAGCTCTGTTACAGTGTAGTACATGTTGTTATATCACAAAAGGCTAGAGGGATGTCTAATCACCAGCTATGTGGCACAGTGTAGTACATGGTATATCACAATAGGCGGGAGGGAGGGCTAATCATCAGCTCGGGTACAGTGTAGTACATGTTATATCACAATAGGCTGGAGGGAGGTCTTATCACCAGCTATGTGGTACAGTCACTGCACGTGTAGTACATGTTATATCACAATAGGCTGGAGGGAGGTCTAATCACCAGCTCTGTGGTACAATGGGGCCTTTGCCTTGTACCTTTGCAAAATTATTGCACACAAAAAGCATGATTTTGGGAAAATAAAGTGATTTTTGCATTGATATTCGAGAAATATTCCAGTGAGATATCTGAACATGTATTAGGAAGGTATTCTTTTACTGACTATTGGCTACAAATAAATCCCTCTGATGATAATGGGGATGGCACACTAAATATTTCAATACATCAGGAAATATTGTGTAATATTTATGGTAGTACTTGACTGAAGAATGGATATTAAAGGGAATATGGAAACTTTTATGGAAAGTTTTACTGAGTGAATGCAGTACATGTCACAGTTGTTTAAGTTCTTTACAGGGTAGGGAGAAAATTCACAGGGTCTCAGGGAGGCGGGACTGTCGCTATCAGTTACAGTATATAATGAACAATCTTGATGTTAGGGCAGAGTCGTTATTCACTGGGAAGTAGGCCACCAGATCCACAAACTGGAGAATAGGACTGACAGTCACAACACAGACATAGTCCCTTTATATACATAGGTATTTTTAGAGAAAGAACAAAAATAAAATGCGTTTAGTGTACAGACTGAAAATGGGGCAAATATTAGGTGTGATTTCAGAGTTTGGGCTTACTTGTCCCTGGTCGGATAATTAGGGAGACTAGACATATGAGAAGGTATATCCCTGTGATAAGGCACACAATGATAGTGTTTCTATGTAACTGTATCCGTGCTGACTTGCCTCAGCTTCATCAACTAGGCAGACTGGCTGTCAAAACCAGGACATGTGATAAGGCATTATCAGCATCCAGACAACACTGAGTTGGGTTTTTGTACCACTGTGTACACAAGATCTGTGATCAGTACCAGTAGCCTTGTAACTGCACTGGATGATGATGAGACTAATAGTTTTGTAGGTACCACTGTTCATCACTAGTCTATTTACATATGTGATTTATACCACTGGTGAGGATACTGATATACTTGTGTACAATACTGGGCCTCCACCATAGTTCCAGTGCTGTGTGTACCCCCAGTACAGTGGCAGATCTTGGAGACTGCAGTCATCTGATAGTCGGTGGACTCTGGATTACCCAGTTCTGTTATCGGCAGTCTTATATCAAAATCTGGCCAAAACCCACTGTACTTACATTGGGATTTTATCCAGTTTGTGTATTCATGCTTGGATTAACTTTTTTTGATGGAGATAGTTGGACAAAGACCTGGATTAGTATTCCTACATGTGGTCTTATTCTTGTTTTGATGTGTGTGGCATTATAACTGATCATGGACACACCAGTTTTTGAAATTGAAGAAGTCGAAGGTGACTATTCCCTGTGATAAAAAGGCTGTTTTTGAGTTTCTATTTAAGGGGTTGGTTTTGTATAGAGGTAGAACATGATCAAGAGCGTACATTAACAACCGGAAGCATGAACATGATACCCAGTCACCTAAGACTTTATAATGTAACAAAATGTGCTGTGTAGTTGAAAATGAATTACATAATTTCTCCTTTCATTTCCCCTGAAAACCATCCGGCTAAAAAGTTTATCTCCGATTTAAACAATAGAATCAATACCAATCTACCTGATGGAGTAAATGTACCTCATCAATATACTTAAATTGAAAGATCTGATGATTCTTGTTTATCCTTAAATCAAAACAGTCTTTAGAGCTGAGGCCTGTACTGGCTTGCTTAACATAGAGTTATGTAGGGCTACTAAATTGCTCGAGATGCAGCTTAGATTGTATGTATACATGTGTATGCTTATTTCTGTTGATTGTCTTGTTCTTTTCCATCAAATTACTAGATGTTATTAAAAAATACTTAAAAAATAATTGAATAACTTCTGTAAGTAAAAATATATTCACATGATAATTTAGAAATGTAATTTTTCCACTGTTATATCATTGATGAAAGACTATTGCAAAAATAATTGTAGAAAGTTACAAAATTAGGCTGGAATTTTATCAATGTCGAGATTTGATACGAAACTAGCTACATACATGTAGTGTGTGCTGTTGGCATGAAAGGAATTTAAAATGCTTCTGCAAAACCTTAGGAAGTGAACCAGGTTTTTTTTGTGTGTGCATGTTTTAGACAGATTGGTCTGAGAATGTAGACTGCTTCCGTGAAACCTGCAGAAGCGAACCAGCAGTTTGTTCCTGTACGAGAGACAAGCACTATTAGTGGTGTGATCTAAGGGAGGGACGACAGGTGAACGGGTCTGGCCAGGTGTTACCAAGTGATTGTTATACCTGCTGATACAGGTATCCGGAACCAATAACGCAGATATATGGTCCCACACAGGAAGCCTCTGTTGGTCTCATCAATCACAGACAAGAAAGGCCAACAGAGGTTGCTTGGTGAAAGGTCTGGTATATTAATGGTAGCAGTCCTATCAAGATCACAGACATTTAAATAACCTTTAAGAGTGCAACAGTATTTTGTCTTTCTGAATGGAATCTGATAGTAATTCCTCTTTAATTGAATATGGCAAAGATCAATTAATGCTGATGGGGTTAACATTAGATATTTGCATTCATTGTTGTTATGTATAAATGATAATTCTAAATAGATGTGACTATTAATGTATTATTGTTTTAACTGCATTCACCCCAGGGGGCCTTACAAGTTACATGTAGTTCATAGAAGGGAGATCATTCACCAATTTGACACTGTAGGTAGTAACTAGGGCCCTTCATCAGAGATGTGGATCCCCAGTAGTTTTGTTATCACACTGTTTGTCTGTCTTTCTGTCCATCCACACTTTTGTTTCGAGAGATACACTGTGATAATATGGGTTAAGTAAGTTCCTAAGGTCAAGGTCAAGTCACTGTTAACAGGATTACTACACTAAAGGCACACTGTCAAAAGTTCATTGTACTGCTTTTCCTGACCTGCCGGTCTTTACTTTGGCAATTAACTAATTAGTATTTGGTGGATTCCTGTGTGATAAACATAACATTACCTGGATTTGGAAATCCAGTATGGCTGCTGGCTGCAAGGTTAACTCATTCACCCCTGAACACACATTTGAACCCTTCCAGTTCAAAGGATGGAATATAGTTCATTATGAAATTTCAGGGGTGAATGAGTTAAGGTAATCCTTTGTTGCTTCTGTGTGGCTGAGACATATATATAACATTTATGATTTATTAGTAAAATTCTCTTTAAACTTAATTGTAATTGGTGATTAGATGATATTGCACATGCTGAATAAGGTCAACATATTATCTGGATCAAATAATCCAAGATGGCCATCATAGCTTCTGATTGGTTGAGATCTTCCAGGCTATTAGTCCCTATTCCTAAATCAAAGACGATCACTGGTTTAAATTTACACTCATTGTAATGCAGGACCCTTGCTTACATGTCAGTGTTCTATTAAAAGAGCTTTCAAAGTTGATCCTGTTTTGAAATACAATATGTCAGCTTTTTACTGGCAGTGATTACAGGATCTCATTAATAAAAAAAAATGTTATTAAAATTCAAAAGCCTAATAACTAGCTCCATATATATCTTAAACTGCCAAGTTGTCAAGTAGATTTTTATGGTATAAGGCTGTACAGGAAGTAAACATGTGGAGGTATTTTGTGTAAACAGGGGCAAAACTCTGTTGGTGCCCTACTGCTGAGGTCTTGATGATGTTTATAATAGCTGGAAGCATGAGGGTTGAATTAAAGTTGTGCCACTGTTTGAATTAAAAGTTGTGCCATGTTTTCTTGCTATGGTTGCAGAAAGTGTTAAGTAATATGGTATGAAAAGTGAAGTGGACAGGGATCTTAAACTTTATGTAAATATTAATATTCATGTACAGTTAAGGAATAAAAGGACAAACAAGTTGATTTTATTTACCTTCCCTTACACAAGAGTGACAGTACTCGTGTCTGTTGTCATTAAATACTTCACTCTTTATAAATTATAAATTATAATGTATAGATGTACTTTGTTAAGGATCTACTTCATAATTGAGCAGAGTGATAAGGAGAATCCTGTTTGTGGACATGTAATACTGAATCACTTTAGTAACATGATAACCCTAAATCAGTAGACTCACTGAGGTTTAATTCTGCATGACACATATCAGCGGCATTTTTCACTGATAAGAATTATAAGACAGGCCAACTTCTCAATTATTTGAAATATTTAGATTTTCATCAACCAGATGAGAAAATTCCATGATTTGCCCTTTCAATTTCTCCTCTCATACCAAAGCATATACACCATGTATGTTCCTAATTTTGGGTCCAGATTAGAATCTGCGCCGCTAGTTGTAAAGTGATGAAAAAAATGAATGGCGGATCAGTCTGATAATGAGAGAAAATCTGTGGGTGCTGAGCTGAACAGCTATCAGGCTATCTGTATTTGATCTACATCTCTCATCTCCTACATGATGGAGTGTTTTGATTGGGAGGAAGTCCAGTCTTGTTAAATGATAGCAGATGTTTACCTAGACTGTGTTTACTGACCTTCAGTGCTGGTCAGTACATGCATGTGGCTAAATGGTAGGAGGCTGATTAACTGACCTCACCTCAGGATCACCCCTATCTTAGGGTAGTGGGTAGGTACAGGGTGGCTGGTATGATACACATACTGGATTTGGATGAGTTAGTACAGAATATACTGAAAACTGTTCTTTCTAAAATCAATGGTCAAAGAGCTTTGGAAATATAATAATATTCCTAAGTATTCTCTTTTTAGGCAAAAGTGTATGAGTTAGTAAGGATATATTTCCAGTTATTTGCATACATGTACTAGTCTAGATGTTTGGAACACTCCTTCAGAATTCATGAGCAAGTATGTCCAAAACTTGCCCAAGTATCTTGTTGATATAAATCTTCAGTTAAGATATGTTGGAAGGGCGTTCCTGTTGATGAAACAATAACCAGAAAATATCAATATTTGTGTTTTTTTTAGCTCATTTATACATCAATTAAAAGGATGTGATTATTCAACAAAACTATTTACCCCCATTGACCATTTTGTCCATGTGGTGCACTAGTACTAATACTGTTGACCTTGAGACTGTCCCTTCATGACCTTGTATCAGATTGAAGGTTATGAATGGGGTGGAGACGAATACGCCTGCTGTATCTTTATCCCTCTGCATGTTATCGTAAGAAGTAACTAAGATTGGGCATTGCAGAATTGGAAGGGGGTGGAGTGGGTGTTTCGATCTTCTTTGTCGTCTGTTTAGGGGACATAGAAGAAACGGAAATTGATCCGCTGCCTCCTTCCATGATTGCAATACTTGGGATCTGTATCTTTACTTTTGTCACTTTCTTCTCTTCCCTTTTCAGTGATGTCTCCTATGAGGCACCTGTAAAATTAAATGTTATCAGCGCACTGGTCAGTTTGTCAAACTGATGAAATCTTAGATGTGCACACATTACAGGGTTCGTACTCTGAACATAAAACATAGGAAATATTGTGTGATGCCATTTTTTAATGTTCATTAGGTGTACTTATTAAAACTTTCATTGTAGTTGTTCATTTACAAAGGATGATGTTATAATTGTTATTAATATAGGAGTGATATGCAACACACTTCTCTTTCATGTACTTTATCTTATGGTGCACCATCATACATGCTTATATGATGGGATTATTCAAAAAACAAAAGTTTTCTAATAACAAAAAAAAACTGTTATTATGAAGTGTGGTGGGAACAACATGAGCAGCATTTACATGTAAATGTGTGGTAGATAAGATAGATGCCAATTTTTACCTAACAGAAAGGCAAGAGTTCTACATAGAAGTTATAGGTGTTTTTTTTGCAAAAATTTACCTAAATCATATATATACATGTATAACAAACAAAAGTTTGAACGACTGGCTGTAGGCTGATTACCTGCTGGTAATTTAGAAAGCCACGTGAATGTATACAGCAATTGCATGTTTTCGTACATGTTTACATTTGGAACATTCCTGTGTGTGCATTGTACAGCCAGAGTGTGGAGCTCGGTTATAGGGACAGCAAAATTAAACATTCCTGTAGCTTACATCACTGTTTTGATCACCACTTACAGGGTAACAACACATACAGTACATGTAATTGTTATATTTCAATTAAATATATATATGTGACTAATCAACCTATAAAAAGGAACTGTGGTACATTGTATCTATGCATAGCTGTTGAGATGATGGACACATGCTGATGTGGTTTATGTTTGTTTTAAAACGTTTGATGAATGGTGTGACAGGACTATATATATAAAACACTGTATAGCTTCTATTTAAGTACTACCAGCTGTAAACTGAGGTTGTTTACTGCATGACAAGCAGGTGTTAATCTGGACAATCTATAAAACAAAAGTTGTCGTGTATGTGTATTAATAGATCTGTATCTCTAGAAATGTGGTGCCCAGAAAGTAAATTTTCTGGATTAATGAGTGTGGATGCATGATGCTCCTTTATACTATATATGAGTTTTTAAGTGTTTAGCATCATATGGTTCCTTGTGCATGACTACAATGTGACAATGCTTTATCCCTTGATAAATATGATTGATTGTCATATGATTGGTTAATTTCAAAAATATTGATTTTCCTGGGTCCATTTTCTGTTTCAGATCCAGAGGACAGTTGTGAACCTTCAATGATGGAGCTAGCACATAGCCTCCTCCTTAATGAGGAGGCACTGAAAAAAATTCCTGAGAACAAACGACCAGTGTTTGTCTTTGAATGGCTCCGGTTTCTGGATAAGGTCCTCATCGCTGCACAAAAAGTAGGTTTTATACTGTGTGAAGATATGGCACACCTCAAAATCCTGATGACTTTAATTTGTTCCCTGGAGATAAAAATGAAAATGGATATGAAATGTTGAATTGGACATTGGTTCAGAAAAAACAAATTTGCTGTGAACACGGTGCAGTGTATATGTTTTTTGTGCCAGTCTTCTGCCATAACCAGATAGGATCGTGTACACACATAGACTTCAGTGTGTTTATATAATTGAATATGAGAGGACTACAGCATATTCTGTCTAAACAGACACTTGTCTAATCTGCATTCACAATCTATTTGGTCCTGGCATTTCCTGTTTTAGAATATAAAATGTCTTGTCTAATGTGCAACCTATGTGCTCTGGAAAAATTATCGATCTTGCTTTAATATAGATCCTTGTGAACACCCTTTTCATTTCAGCCTTTTATTTTTTCTCGGTCAACTCTTCCTACAAAATGTCTCTTCAAGCATCTGACCAAAGATGCTGAATATTCCTGTTACAGAAATAGAATCTCTATTTTTCATTTTCAACTTTGCATTTTGAAATCAACAAAAAATTCTATATAATACTGTATATTCAATTCTTTGTATAGAGCAACTGAAACTATTGTATTTTATGCTATTATTTTGTCAAATAGGCATCAGTATGTACTCTTCGGACATTATTAATTTTTTCCATGCAGTTTCTCCCCAGTAATTGTTTTTAAATGTTGGCAAGTATTGATTCTGCACCAGTGAAACTTTAAAGCAATTACACTAAAAGAAATGTTGTTCTCAGAAAAGGAAGAAAATGAAATAAAAATAAAAGCTGTTATTTCTTTGAGCTTTGTCGGCTGTTGTCCTACTTGAAGCAGAAACTGGAATGATTCATGGATGGCTATAAAAAGTCAATATCAAGATGAATTCAGCAGTCAGATAGTTATTAGGTCCCCTTGGAGGCTTTATTTGACAGATCTGACTTGAGATATCAAGCAAGCTCTGAAAAAAGCCAGCCAGCAATGGTTTAGAATCTGATATCCTATGATAGGGTTGTTCTATTCTGTATTAGTAGAGAAAAGCATCCAGCTTTTCATAATACAGATCCTGAAGATTTACCCTGAACACCATAGCTAATACCCACTTGTTAATTGATTTGTCTTGTCAATCGGCTAACAAAGTCCATGTCCACATTCATACTGGGGATATGATTGAGGACAAGTGGCCCTTAACATAGATGTACTATCTGTGTTGGTCATTGATATTTATTGTAGCTTGACCACTATATGGGTGCTTAACTAAAGTGGCTAGAGAGGATTTAGCTCTGTTGATCAGAGATCAGTTCTATCAATGCAAGCTTCCTCAACTTAGAGACATATAAAGGTAAAAGATGAAAAATTGATATTTTAATAAACATTAAAACTCACATTTTATGATTCAAAATGATTTGAGTCAGGCAACATTTTTATTAAAGTTAGTTTGCAATACATTTAAGTTGAAAAAAGATCAGTTGAAGAATTTAGCTAAATGTTTCCAAGCTCATGGAGCTCAGTTCAGAGCTTCAGTTAGAATAAAGGTAAAGTGTGGAGCAATTTATGGTTTTCCGAGGTCCAATTTTCACTTCCTTCCGTCTACATCTATCATCATTGTAGGGTTAATTTGGGAAATGTACCGTTACTCAGGTGTATATGTACAATATTTATTGATCCGAACTTAGTTATAATTAAGGTCAAAAGATAATTTCCATGCAATTACTGTTTATTGATCTCCACACAGAATGTCATTTTATTCTAGATCTGTGTTCTGGTATTTCACCTGATGTAAATAATAATCTCATGGTTTTGAATTTGTAGTTTGAATATTATAAAGTCTGTAGTGTCACTTGTAAAGATATTTTTATCTTACAATGAAAAATATGAAAATAACAATATTGTAAAAACAACCCTTTATATGTTATAAAACTATAAGGTTCTTGGTAATCATTTAATTCATTTTTCATTTTAACAACTCAAGTGAGTTATGCCCCTTTTTGTAAAATAAAAATATGTCAAGACTACTTCTTCTGAAGTACTGCATTAATTTCAATGAAACTTTGTATACTATAACAGCATGCAAAGAAGTTGTTAACAATGCAACTTATTTTACACTGTGAATGCGATTTTTTTGTCCGTTCAAACTATGTTAGTCATAAAGAAAGAGAGGGATACTGATTAATTAGCCTGCAGCATAAAAAGTGTCTTAGGCTAGCAAATATGAAAAGTATCAAAACGTTTATCAGTTATAAACCCATTAAATACATAATGAAGATATCCTTACATTCATTCAATATGAAACAACGCTGGAAATATACTGTATCTGATCTAATCATAGCTTGAGGTTTTTTGAAGGTGGTTGTGTATGTGGAATGGTTATGGTATGTATAGAAGTAAATCAGACCTACCAAAGTTCAGGAGTGGAAAGAGAACTTGTGCACCTGTTAAAATGATATAAAGGTAGCATCAGCGGAACTTCAATAGGTGTAGGGCTATTTGTATCTGTTTGGATCTCCCGTGTGTAATCTAGATCAAGATAACTGGGTCATGTGAATAATGGCTAGGGTTATGGAAGCTGCATGTGATGTTAATGGTGTGCGCAGACAATCATAGCTGGATGCCCACAGGAAATTACTTCACTGCCAATAATTACTTGTAATGTACACAGCACGGGCCAATTCCTGCCCCATAGTTACATTTTGTGGTGTCCAAATTAAAGGTGTTTCTTTTTCATTATTTTGTTTTCAGTCGGACATTAAGGAGAAACAGAAGAAACTTGTGGAGCAGTTGACCAATCAGATCAGTGAATCTCCTGGGCCGCCAAGCCGGAAACTGCTGGCACGGAACCTTGCCATTCTGTTCAGTGTTGGCGATACCTTCGAACTGTTCAACACTATAAACAAATGTAACGACATCATCAAGAACAAAGATGATTCACCCAGTTATCTCCCGACTCGTCTGTAAGTCTCCAGGAACATACATCATCCTAACAAATATTTCTTCCCTCAAAGCTATCCATAAGAAATACATTCCGTCTAGGTGTTGTGATTGATCTGTGTCTGTACCTTCACCCTGAACAAACAAGTTCATCTCTTGCATTTTCCAAGGTGTTTACATTACACCAGCATAAATATTTATATTATATTCCAATTTATATGGGTTTTTTTCGATGTAAACATACATTTTATAAGCTAAACAACCATTATAGCAGCATACATATAATGGAATACTCTTTTAATCTGTAAACCTGTATAAATGCCTTTCAACTTTTAAACCAGATGTTCCAAATATGTCTCAATTTATACATTCCTTTGTCGATTGAAACTGCCTAATTTGAAAACCTGTATAAACCAGTCCTTTGTATACGTCCTAACTATTTACAGTCCTATGGCTACTGAACCTGTATCAACCAGAAATGTATCTATTTAGAAATGTAATTGATGGTTCCAAAGATGTTGGGTTTAATCAGGTTTCATGGAAGTTAAAAGCTACCTAAAAATTCCTCTTCATTTGCAATATGGACAACACCCTTAATAATTACGTCATTTGGGGCCAAGGAGTGTTAATTGTAGCTGTTTTTAACTCACACAACCAGCATCTGATTCCAATACCATGACAAGCTCAGTGTAAACACTTAGAGCATCCGTTCACAGGTTCCTCAGCAGTTGATACCAGGCTACAACATCCTTTGATTAAGTTACTAACATAACCATCAAGTCTTGATGCCTGTCCATCTCTCCCGGGCTGTAACACAAGTCTGCTCTCCAGGATTTCTTGTAGATAGTGTATTCAACAGTTAAAAAAAAGCATACCTGAAATATTGTACGCAAGATGCTGGGAATATCAGACAGGTACAGAATGGCCAGTCGGTGCAGAATTATATCTCGACAGGATTAGAACATTCACAAATATCTTTCGAGTTGACTTAGTAAGCTTACCTTATAAATATAAAAATGTATTCAATTAATGCTTAATCTGTACCGTAGAACTTTCCTAAGAAAACTTGCATTTTTTTAGGTGAATGTAAGTTAAGAAAAACAGCTTGTGCTGAGATTACAATTTAAATTGATCTTGTTCAGCAGGTGGTTTGTGTGGTTTAGGTGTATAACATCTCTGATTGGTGTACCAAAAGAGATTGTATGTGGCATGAAGGGTAATTTTTGTGGCAGTGCAATTTATGCTATTTTTTAGAAAAAGGAATTTACAAGTATAAAATTAAAAAGGTCTTTTTTTTTAAATCTGAATAACATGCAATGCCGGAATCACATATTTAACGCCACATGAACTATCATACGTATACAACTTGTCAAGACAGTAGAAATAACAGCTACTCAAAAATTCAATTTTGTGTTACTTTAACAGAATTGAGGATACTGGCCAATTGTCAAAAAGTTCTGAGCTTGGATAATACTGACATTTTGTGGTACTTTATCTGTAGCTCTTTGAATTTTCATTAGCCGAATTAATAAAAAGTTGTAAAGTCAGACTTTGACACAAAATGTTTTTATACCCGAACAATGGTAATAATTGTTTTTCTGACAATGAGAAAACTGGTGCTTATTTTGAATCAAAGGTAACCCGGTAAGTTTTCATCTTAACATTGAAGAAAAATGGAAAGAAGATGAATTATATTAATTAATTTTGATACAACTTGATTCTTATGCTTTGAGGAAATTTAAATTACAAATAAATATTGACCCTAGCTGTGAGAAGGCTGTGTGAAACTATTTCAAGAAGCTTTATTAACAATTAAGTGTCTAAAGATTGATTAGAGTATAACTTAAGTTTGCTTCATGACTACATGTAGATAATTGAAATGAATGAGGTGGAATGGTATATTAAAGTTGATACATACATAGGATTTTCAAACACAAGACAATGTCTTCCACAGTGACGACATCATTTATTTCCCAAAATCATCCACAGCATTTTAATATTGATAGCTTTGTGGTATGTCATTAATCAGGAATTGAAATAATAGGGAAAACTATGTGGAAAAATATTGTTTTGCCTGTGAAAAATGAATTAAATTTACAGATAATGATAATCATTTTCACCATCTTTGTCATTGACAGTGCTGCCATTGCGTGTCTAGGAGCCATGTATGAGAAACTAGGGCGAATGACAGGCAGATCGTATGAGGACACCGTACAGATACTTATCAAGTCCCTCAAGAATGCTGAGGTAGGTCAATCTCTTTCATAGCCAAAAGTGTTGGTTGCATGAATAGAAGGAGAAAGGTTATCACCAAGAATTCAAGTAATCTTGAATTAAAAACAGTTGGATGTTATTACCAGAAAAGGGACTGCGGTGGCCAAGTGGTTAAGACGTCTGACATTCTGCTACCACTAGCCATCCACCACTGGGTCGCAGGTTTGAGGCCTTCGTGGGGCAGTCGCCAGGTACTGGCCGTAAGTCGGGGGATTTCCTGGCTTTCCTCCACTACCAAAAACCTGGCACGCCCTTAAATGGCCAAAGCTGTTAATAGGACGTAAAACACCAAACAAACCAAACCCAATTGCCAGCAAAACGACAAACAGAGAGATATCTGAGTTGTTAATATCATTGGAATATTTTCCCTCAAAGATGCCAGGCTGTATACATATGTAAGATCATGAAAAGCTTTTAATCTTTATTTAGTGTGCAATTGTGCCCTGTTTGTTTTATGTCATGCACATATTTAAGTTATGTTAATGCTAATGTTAGTTCTCAACATTCAAAAATAAAAAAAAACACCCAGATTCAGTTTGAAAGGTAATTTGAGCAAAATAAATCAAGTTGATCAAATAATAAACAAGAGCATCATGAGCAGCTTCTTTTCACTTTATATACATTCTGTTAATATACTAGTGTAAACATTTTTAGGTTGTCTTTAAGCTTCATAACCAAGCCTGAAAACAAATTACTGTGGGCAAAGTACCTCGTGCCTTTAAACTGAAACATAGAAATAACCTATTGGAGAGAGTAGCAGGAACATAATTGCACACCTGTGACTTCTATAAACCATTGCACACGTAGCTGCTACAGCAACAAAAACCTCAAAGCCATGGTTACAATGGGATCGTGAATGGAGGTTAAGCTTTAGCTGATGCCAGGTAGACACTTGGAGGCAGTCGTTAGGTAAAACTCAGTCTGTGATTATCTCATGTAGGGTATACAGAACAAGGGCTGTTCAGGCGTCTAATTGTTAAAGCACAAGACAGAGTGACATGCATGCATGTAGGCACGGTGCTCTGTACTGGTGGGGGTTTGCCTGGGAAAGTTATGCAAGATATGACATAGGGTTTTTGAACATTGGCCAAGTTCGCCCAGTAGGTTTATAAGTAAGAGGTGTCTGGTGAAAAACGACTTCCAGATTTCTCCTTTGGTATGTCCTCATGCCAGGATGAGGTGGGATCAGCACACATAGCTTACAGGCTGTCTGTCATTCACATTTATTGTGATTCCTCTGAAGATAAGTACATACAATACAATAATAAAAATACATCTCAAGTAGTATTTGCCTTTTAGCAGAAGATAAAAAGAATGTAGGCAGGGCCGCAGGGGGATGGTACTAATGCAAAAGTTGGAGTAGTCAACACAACCAATGATCTTTCTGTCATGTCCCTATGCATAGTTTCAACCTTTTAAATGTTCTAATCAAACACCACATTAGCAAAATTTAAATGTCTAAATGTACTTACAGTGACTCCTTATTTGGCAAAATGATAGCATGAAATAACAGTTTAAGCTGCTCTTAAGCAAGATGTAGGTTATTCTGCTTATAATTTTTTCACCTTTTAAAAAAAAAAAAGTTTGCTTAGACAAACTATCAATTTTCTAAAGGAGGAATAGTAGTTGCCAAATCAGTATGTTTTGAAAATGGAACTCTTATCTAGAAAACTTAGTAACACTGTTTTGAAAGAAGTACATTCAGCATCTAGGTCCTTAAAATGGCCAAAAGAATAAGTCTCGAACCCATTCTAGCCGCCATGCATGCAAAGATTCACTTAAGTTTAAATAAATAGTTGGTCAGGGATTTTACCATCCATTGTCACATAATATAGCATGATTGCAAAGTTATAAGATGAGTCTGATAAAGGAAAGCATTCCTGTCCCTGATACAGTAGATAGAAGTGACCATTACAAACGGAATGTTGACGACACAATATTGGTCACGGTATAAACGCATCTGTCTAAGAACTGGATATCCTTTACATTGTGATGGTCACCTAATGATGATAGATCTGCATCCCATTTTCCCATGTTGTTGACAGAAAGTTATTGATCGGTAGAGAGAATGTGACCAGTCAGTGGGTCACAGGGCTATGTCTTGTTTCCTGTTAAATGATATCACCTTCATCAATTGTAAAGGCTGTTCACAAGGTACAAGATACCATAGTTATAACCAGAACATTTAATTTGCTCATATAACATCCTATACAAATTCTATTTACAGATGATCATAGATTGACTAATCGTTAGCATCAATGATAATGCGGGTATAGGAATTGTATCTAGCCTACTGTATTAGCTGGTTGCTAATGATATTGCCATACATATATATTGGATCTTACCAAACTTATTGGAAAAGTGGATAGTTTTGACGGTACTTTATTGGTCAATGGGCACTTTTATTAATGTGTTCTACTTTGGATGAAAGGACTGGCTATTAGGTACAAACAGATCTACATGCGTACAGTGTATCAGAATCAAGTGTGGTACAGTAACAATTAACAGTTTATGATTATAAAATATTTGTACCAGAAAAAAAAAATCTTAATTGATCTAAATCAGTTTTAATTTGTATTAGTTAAATCATTCCTGCACAAGAGTAAGTAACAGAATATTGTTGATATTCCAAATTAGTCATTTAGATAAACTTCCATTAGAATTAAGTAGATGTAAAAGGTGCATAAGGGTCAGATCTCAGCTTGGGTTTAAACTTTGAAAACTTTGAAAAATATTTACTTTGAAACAACACAGGCTTTCATGATCCTGTCACTCATATAAATGTATGTAAATCCCAAGGAGGACTGGAAAATACTGATTCTCAAAGCGAGTCATGCTATCGGTACACAACAACTGTAGTCCCTTGTATATATCTATTACCATCGATGAATAGTGCTGGTTTAATGAATGTTTATGAGATGGGCATTACCACTGACGATTTAGTACCGGATAGAGTTCTTTTTGGTTTCTTACCTAATTATTCAAATAAAACAGGTCCTGGGCAACAAGACTTTAGTGAGTTCCTGTCATAATAGATCAAATATAACCTGTGAACCTTCCCCCTACCATTCTTCCCCCCTAGCCCCCTCCAGACTGGGTATCGATAACTCCCTGCACTGGGCCTATGTTTTCTGTATGGCGATTTAATGGTGTTGTAATTGTCTCTAGACAGCTATAGTTCTAGGGAAGATATCTGTAGTTAGGATGACCTTTGAATATGAACCTGGACACAAGTCAGCCTTAATGTCCTGGTGAATTGGCTCAATCAGGTCTCTGGGGACTTCTGTGCTGTATATGTATTATGCTATTGATTGCAAATGTGGCCTTTGATATTCAGGGGAGTTTTTTCTTTTGTTTCCCAAATGGTTGAAGCCAGTGCCAATTGTGAAAACGATTCCTTTTACATGTATGTCTGGAATTGGTTGTTATCAGGTCTAATTAGCTTGATCATATATCAAGGAAAATTTTGGAATTTTGATATTTTCATCTTATTACATCAAATAAAAATAAGATATGCATGGCCAAGTATTCAAAATGGTCAAAGATTCCATATACATAATATTAATATATTTCTGCACAAAAAAAAGATAAACTTTGAATGTTTGTAACATTACACTATGAAGGTTGCTTAAACAGGATCCGGGAATGGATTTCAAAATCAGTTTAACATGTATTCTTTTATGTCAAATTTATCTTGGAAATAAGTGTCTTAAAAAAAGGCTAGCCTTGAACATCAATCTTGGTTTTGATGTAAAAAGTTCTACTCTAGTTCTGAGGCCAAACGTGTTTGACACCTTATTATCCCCTCGCAACGAAAGTTGGAGGGGATATAGGATTCCACCTGTTTGTACGTATGTACGTATGTTATACTCTTTATCATCACTCTACTGATTTCCTTTCTCAACAGAATTTCATGAAACTTAAAACAAGTGTTTGGTATGACAATACCTTGAACAAGTTTGCGTTTCAGGTTACTACGTCGAAGGTCAAGGTCACTGTTACTATTTTTAAAAAACTTTGTCATCGCTCAAGTGACTTCATTAGTGAATGGAATTTCATGAAACTTCACGCAAGTGTTTGGTATGGCAATGCCTTGAAGAAGTTTGTGTTTCGGGTTTTTATGCTTAAGGTCAAGGTCACTGTTACTATTTTTAGTAAAACTTTGTAATCGCTCTACCAACTTCATTCCTCAATGAAATTTCATGAAACTTTATGCAAGTTTTTGGTACGGCAATGCCTTGAACAAGTTGGTGTTTTGGGTTGCTTGCTGCATTAAAGGTCAAGGTCCGTTTTACTTTTTGGGAAAAACATTTTCATCGCTCTATCGACTTCATTCCTCAACAGAATAAAAATCTATCATTCATCGAAGAATGCAGTTGCTAGAGGAGATACTGCCCCAATGTGTGAATGCAAGGGGATTTGTAATATTTGTGCTGCCTTGTTAACTATTGCAACATAATTTACAAAAACTTTGGTGCATCTTTGTACTATATATGTAACTCACTAGCTCATCACATGATCATCATTTGGCAGAAGGTATTGACATTGCTCCATGAAATGTTTAATTATCCATCATTACTTGTGAGTTCAAAGGTCCTGGCAACATGTGATTGTGATAATTTGAATGTGACTTAATGACGGTTAAAAAGCTTTCAAAAATTGACAGCCTTGAAATATGTCATGAACAGCTTACTGTTTAAATGGCTTCAAAACTAAACATGGGATTTGAGTAAGAGAGAAAATAAACTTCAGCTTGTTATCAAGATTTCAGAGTATATTTATTGGTGAATTAGGAATTACATTTATTTGTTGAGGTAGATCTACTGCTTTTCCTGAAAAAGATGTCTGCCTGTTTACTATTGACACCCTTAACTCTTGTGTGTCAATAACACGTGTTACCTTTCAGCAATCATTTACCCCCGTTCACTATGTATCCAGCTCTGTAGTGTCAAGCATTATTGACACTTTGTCTC